TAACTTCTTTCTGAAGGTTGTACATCAAGGTTCTCTCGGATACCTGTACTCCGGATCATGTCGAGACAAACGTGAGAACAGTGACCCTAGTAAAACAGATAGAGCAGAGAATAAACAAAATACGAGGGATATCAACAGGAGAAAATAAATGAGCGAACGAAATGCAGAATGAATGAGTAGACGGAACAAACGCTAAAAAAGAAGTTAAGCGAAAGGACGGAGAAAAAGTACAAGGGGCACATACGAAGTTCGTTTTCACGGCATGCATTATGCGGTATCTATCGTCGGCATGAGAGATATCGACGATTTCGATAACTCATTTCAATTCTTTAATTCTAATATATACAAACTCTACTTCAGTGTTTGTGGAAGTCAGATACAGGCAGACATACAATTTTATTTCCCTACTGCCTTTCTATGCAGTAACACTGATCGGCATCGAAATTTTTGTTCCCAAAAGAAATTTAAGCAGCCATAACAGACTAGGTCTGCTGTACAGTCCTAATTATAACGCGTTTACGTGTGGGAAGTTTTCCTTTCTCAAAATTGTTGCGCATCAAATTTTTAAATTCACTGTAAAGCTTAGCAAAATCTTTTTTAATCACATTTTTAAAATGCACTTCGAGATATCACTCGCAAGTTACCAATATGCCTGCATCTTTGCGACAACTGAAGCATATAGAAAATCTATGATCCCGCAGACTCTGAAAAACGAAGAACGGGAAGGACGAAGTCTCCACGAATCCATCCTTTTGCGTCAAATCGTACATATAGGTGTTTATTCGCAAAAGTTTTTTATACATTAATCCACTTCCTCCGCTATTTTTTATTCCTTGTCTCACTGTAATTTTGTTGTTGTGTGCATCATATGTCTATTGTTACGCCATTGGATCGGTTATTGCTGAACTGATAGTCAGTGATAACGTAGTATTTCATTTATTAAAGCGGTAAATTTTATTAATTTTGAACGCTAATTCTTTGATTAACTTGAGACATGTCCATGAGTCCTGACACTCCGACGGAGGAAGGGGCTCATCGCACGCAAATGGCCGGTAATGAGACAGCGGACCATTAATGTCTTTGCTGATGTTTTTACACAAACAGATGTTAGCTGACAAACTACACACTTCATCCATAAACATTTGTGTTGCTGTCATCCTGTGAAGCATACGCGAAGGAAGGACCTTGCATGACGACGGCATTCGTCTCAGTCAATAGTTGGGGCACCCCATTACTATGATAGTCAACGTCTTCTGAAGTTCTTCTAGCTTCGTGATTCACTGTAATGTTATGAGCAAAATTTGAACCATGTAAATGACGGAGTTATGGATGAAATATCACTTGCTCATCAAAATTCGTGTCTAGTTTGTCATCACAGTAATCGAACAGCCTGGATGTTTGATGTAACAAAGCCTTACGTTGATATCAGTCGCAAACTTTTGCAAGAGTGTAAAGCGCGACGTCACGAATGCTGCTGCGGTAACGCAGTTTTTAAGAGGCTAACTTAAAAAAACTCTGGCACATTATTACTTCTTTGCAGAGAATACGGCGTTCCGGGTTTGGAGAATCAAACGTTGCTTCAAACTCGACTAATCAAATCAACAGTAGCTTGCAATACCGATTGTACGTTTCTAACTATGAGCGTACTTTCTAGACAATGATAGAACATTCTGGCCAACAGCCGCTCTCTTTCCTTCTGGAAGACTTTTCTGTGATAGACCGAATTCGGATATTAATAACTTTAGTGTCTTAGTCTTTGCAAAGAACGGGCTGACAAACAAACTTCACAACACCGGGCTCTAAGCAAAGAAGACTATGTTGCTCCAGTTATTTCTATTCTTTCATAGATAAAACTCATTCAGTCCCATGAACACCATTGGGGACAGCACCACTGGAACAACTGTTTGTGTACCGGAAATTATTCCTTCTACAGGACGAAGCCCAGCCCGCAGTATGAAGATCATTATTTCGGAATTTCCGCTGCGAAAGTTCAACGGCAATATAATTGATGTCCAGAATGCTACCGTGGCGGCATTCACTGGCTAAAGTTGCCTCTCACCTTTCCCCAGTCATACGGCAGAAGTCTCAAATTCTAACCGCAATTAAATTTAAGATGATGAACTCCATTCTAACAGGCATGGCCCGAACATTAATGGAAAGATTACTTACATCAAAAGGCTGTGCAAAAGAACATGTCATTGGAGAATCAACCATACTTTCCCAGCACCAACTGAATTTTGCTAAATAGCAAAACAGAGAAACAACAGAACGAAGCAAACTCTGAAAAAATATTTTCTTGTAATTGCTAAACATATAACGTTTTAATCACTGGTTATATAGGAATGTACCTTACTCGAATTTTGTTTTGCATGTCAGATTGACAAACTGGCTGATTGTGAAAATTGCAACTGTTGGACCTTATGAAAGCATGCAACTCATTTCGCCATATAAATGCAACACTAAAAATTTACTCTCACTTTATTGCCCTACTAAGACACTTCCGCCGGATTTTTGTCGCTATCGGAAGATCGAAGAGGGGATGAAAATGAAAAAGAGAAACATCG